GAAGAGGGCCACTCTAGCCCCTGGCCACCTGGCCTCGCCCTGCCCCGGCCTTGCCCAGGGCTCCCTCAACACTCCCCTCCTTTCCTCTCCACCTCTGTGGCTCTCTGAGGAGGACAGGGGGCTCCATACAGGGGTGCTTCCATAAGGAGGGGATCAAAGGCTGAAGGCTGACAAGAGATCACTGAAGGGGCCGGATGTGAGTGGGAACACGCAGGTGAAGGCTGAGGCCGAGTGCAGAGTGTGGCGGCCAGGGGGTCTGCGTAGTCCACACTGGGGCAGGAGGGCTGGGGGCACAACGCCACGTCAGGGTCTGCCAAACAGGGCAACTGCTAGGCTCGTTTGGAGGAAGTGCCTAGGACCAGGGCGGAAGGCAGGGTTCTAAGATGGGGGCTGGTGCGGCTGTGGCAGAGAGAGGTCTGGAAGGGCCTCCAGCCAAGGAGGCATCTGAGGAGCCACCTAAGGAAGAGGAGCCCCTGAGGGGGACAGGAGGGTTCAGGGAGGCAGTGGGAGAGGACGAGAGGTCCCTAAGGTGGCAGCCTGGCTGAATGCAGGGGGACAGTCATCTGTGTGGGAGCGGCTGAACCGTCAAGAAAGGTGAAGAGAAGAAAAAGAGCCTCAGAAGAAAAGACAAGGTGTCCCCAAACGTCGGTCTGTTGGGAGAGGGATGTGTTGATGGGGGAGGGAGACAGGAGTCAGGCCGCGGGCTGGGCAGTGAGGAGGCACCGAGGTGTGGAGACAGCAGGTCTAGACAATGCCTTCCCAGTGTTTGGGTTAGGAGGCGCACAGGAGCCAGTTAGCCAAGGGAGGGAGGTTCAGGGTTTGAGGTTCAGAGAGAGGTGAGCCCTTTTGTGATCCTAAAGGAAGTCAAGTGCTGAACCTGGGAGCCCAACTTCCTGGCTTCTAGCTGTGCAGCCTTGGGGAAGCTTCTACCCTCTCTTTGCCTGTTCATTCTGCTATAAAGGAGGAAAAATAACGTTATCTCCAGAGTGACTAGGAGGACCAACAGCCCAGCAACAGCCCAGCTGGGCACTGATGACAAGGCCAACAGTGGCTGGTGATAAGAAGCCAGATAAGAGAGGCCTTAAAGGTGGACAGGAGGGGCAGTGAAGGGGCCAGGTGGACTTCAGGGCGCTCTTCTGGCCCCAGCTGAAGAAGGCCCCATCACTCACAAGTTCTGTTTCCCCAAGAAAGACCCTAGCTTTTTCTTTTTCTTTTTTTCTCAATTTTTATTGTCATTTGGGTGAAAGTTTACAGAGCAAATTCGTTTTCCATACAGCACTTCATACACATTTTGCTTCATGACACTGACTACAATTCCCCACAGTGTAACAGCTCTCTTCCCACTTCCTCCCTGTAGTTAGGAGCTCTGGTAGAGTTAGGAGCTCTGGTGGCATAATGCCTAAGGCACTTGACTGGTAACCAGAAGGCTGGCGGTTCAAACCCACCAGCCACTCCTCGGAAGGAAGGTTGGGCAATGTACTTCCGTAGTGATACTGCCTCAGAAACTCAAGGAGGGGTCGCTATGAGTCGAGTCTGACTCGACAGCACGTAACTACAACAACAGCAACCCCATAGTTACCTCTTCCCTGTGTCCTTCCCTCCCGTGCACTCCCACCTCACCCCTGTGAGCTGTCTCCCTGTGCAAATGCTGCCCTTCTGTTCTCCCACGATTGATCTGACCGCTCCAAGGAGTGTATCTACCTGATGTAAATGTCCACCCCATGTGCCTGCCTATTGTTTGGCTGGAAGCCTCAGGAGTGAGTTCAGTTCCAGACCTGAAGGGTAACTAGGGGTCATAGTCTCAGGGGTCTCACCAGGCTCTATCAGACCAGCAAACCCACTCTTTTGTTATGATTTTGAATTTTGTTTCACATTGTTCTCCCACTCTATCCGGGATCTCCTGCAGCAGTCCGCCTCTGAGTGATTGACAGTGGTAGCTGGGCACCATTTAGTTCTTCTGGTCTCATAGTCGTATAGGCTGAGGATCACATGGTGTACGAGTCGCTTGGACTAATTGTTTCCATGCATCTTTGATTTTCTTCATTCTTCTTTGCTCTGCATGAGGCGAGACCCATCATTGCGTTTAGATGGCTGCTTGCAAGCTTTTAAGACCCCAGTCACTACTCACCAAAGTAAGATGTATATTATGCCAATTGAGCTTGATGTCTCCGACAACCATGGTCCCAAGCCCACAGGTCCAACTTCTCGCTCCCTCAGGGTGGCTGTCTGTGGCCAAGAAGTCACCACAACATTGCCTCTTGTCAGCTCTACTATGCACCCAGACATTCTTACAGCACATAAACACACATGTGGAAACACTGTCTGCTAACCCTGTACATGGTCATGGGCACGCATAGACATACCTGATCGTTCAGCCTGTCCACCCATCTATCCAGCGGTAGGTCAATGCTTACCATCACTGACAATGCAGTAGTGTACATGCCAAAGGGTTCATCTTTGTTAAGGCTCTAGCTTTGCTGCTGCCCCTGGGTAGGGGAGGAGTTGAGCCGGAGGTGTGAGGTTGGTTTGGATGTGGCTGAGGGGCCAGAGAGGGTACCACGGGTCAGCCGGGTATGAGTTCTGGGTGCCTCCACACAAGGTGGTCCCAGGGTCAGGCTGTGGGCCTTTCCCCAGCTGCCCCAGGGTCAGGGGAGAGGGGAGGGATGGGCAGCCTTCCTGGGAGGGCCCGGGAAGCTTCCTCCTCCAGTCACCAGGGCTCAGCTGAGCTCAAAGTCAGAGCCAGGACAGGGCTGGGGGTCAGAGTCAAGGGAGCCTTGAGCAGTATGGGGCCAGGAGGCCACCCTTTGGGCCTGTGGCTAAGGACAAAAGGACTAGGGCAGGGCTGGGGCCGGGGCTGGAGGTCCTGTGGTACTCAGGAGTCAGGGGAAGAGGCCACAAGGCTGAGATTGGGGGACACAGAAGGGAGCAGACAGGCAGGCAGCTGAGACTGACTGCCAGGGCCAGTCTGGCTTTGGTTCCTTGGGAGGACAGGGCAGGGGTGGTGCTCAAACCTACTCCTCTGGAACAGGGAACTCCCTGGGCCCTGCTTGCAGAGCAATCACGTGACCCTGAAACTGTATGGACACTGGAGGGAGTAGGGAGCTCCAGCCCCAGACCTCGGCTAGCACTGAGGCCCCGCCCCCACCCCATGCCCTCAGGTCAACCCCAGAGGCCTGGCTGCAGGCCCGTTCACTTCCCCAGGAAACATTAAGTCCCTGAAACAGATCCTGCTGGGCTTCACTTCCGCAGGGACCGCACAGCCAGTCAAGGTCGCCTGCAGGGCGGCTAGTGCCTGGAGACAGCGCACAGCCCGCTGCCAGGTGGCTGAGACCACTGGGGCTGGCCGGGAGGCCCCCTAGGGGAGCTGGCTCAGACACATCCCTGTACTCACACACCATGTACACCGTGCAGGGAAGCACCTCCCCTGCACATGCCCAAACGATGCCCGTGTCATCATGACGGCCAACAGTCACGTTACCTTCACTCATACAGGGACTGGCTTAAGCACTCTAAGCCCTATGAGGCAGGTGCTACAGGATCCCATGTAATCGATGAAGCAACAGCAAGGTTAAGTGACAGGCTCTGGGTCACACAGCTCAGACTGATAGAGCTGGGATTTGAACCCAGGCTGCCCAGCCCTATAGCCTCTGGCATTGCTGGCAGTGCTGGGTGGCCACCTGCCAGCCCCACCCAGGACAGACATACACGGGTGCCAGGCTGTACACACGCTGGCACCTGGATCCAAAGTGCATGGCCCTCCCAGCCTCACCCCCCCAGGTACTGCAGGAAGAGAGAAGGGGGTGGGAGGGACCTTGTCAGGGTCCCTCCACCCCACTAAGTCCCTCATCCCCACCCTGAGATGTTTTGGGGAACCTTCTGGTACCAGACGTTGGAAGGGGGTGACGAAGGACAAAGGGACTCAGCTTGCTTGTCTGTAAAGTGGGGAGATGTTGTCCTTTCCTGCTGCCGCGCCTTGACTTCTTGTGAGTTCCAGCCAGGAGTCCCCAAGGAGCTCCGCCCACAGCCTGGGGTGGTTAGGGGGATGGGCCCTGTACGCCTGGCCAGGACGCCAGCTCCTCCCCTGAGGGGTTACCGGGAGAGAGAAAAGGACTTGCCCAAGTCCCAGACTTGAACCCGGGTCGGCCTGAGGCACAGCAGCCTCTCCAGCCCTGGCTCAGGCCCTGGCGCTGGGGTAGGGGCGGGCCGGGAAGCAGGGCGCCTCCGGGCTCCCGCGGCGCCCGACTTGTTTTTCTGGGCCTGGGTCCCCAGAGTCATTCGCAAGGCCCAGGAGCCACCCTCGGGTAAACAAGCCCAGGCTCGGCCCCAATTAAGCCGGCTGCGCTAACGAAGCTGCTCGTTAACGAGCAGAGCTGCTGCGCCCAGAGACAGCCTCGCGACCCGGGCCCCGCGGCCCTGGCCCCTGCCTAGGTGGCGCAGGGACGCGGCTGGAGGACTCTGGAGCAGGCCCCGGAACTGCCACTTGGGGGCAGATGTCCTCAGTTTCCTCATCTGAAAAGTGGGTCCGAGCATTGGCAGAGGCCCTGCCAGGCGTGCGGAAGTCGGCTGCGGGATCAGTTCCGCGCGCCCGTGCTCTTAGGGCCAGACGCCGAGGCTCGAGCGGGGATGGCGCCGGTCGCTAGCAGGGCCGGGGGAGCGAGCGTCGCCCTCGGCAGGCTCCGGCTGCGGTCCCGGCGGAGGCCCCAGCCCCGCCCCGGTCCCCGCCGAGCAGCCGGGAAGGAGCAGGTGGGTCGAGCGCGCCCCCTGCCGGCCACCCGCGCCGCGCAGGGCCGGGTCCGGCCCCTCTGCGCTTACATTTCCCGGGTTGTGAAAAAAACGAAGGGTGAGGGCTTGAAGGGGGCGGAAGGAAGGCGCGATGCTCGCTGAGACCTGGGTACGGCCGAGGGGACCTTTCCGGGACTAGCAATCTTCGGTTCCGGGGTCTCAGCCTTCTCCTCTGTAAAATGCGGGAGGCCCCCAGCTCACTCCTCCCGCATTCGCAGTGGACGGCTGCATCCACCGGGCGGCCGGGCCCCTGCTCACCGACGAGTGCCGCACCCTGCAGAGCTGTGAAACTGGCAAGGCCAAGATCACCGGAGGCTACCGGCTGCCGGCCAAGTGTGAGTCCCGACACCCCGCACCCGTCGGGCATAGATGGGGTGCCCTTCCCCTCAGCCCCCGGGGGCCTGGTGCGCGCGGGCACGTCGGGGCGCCTGTGTATAACTGGGGGGCTAAGGCTACGGCGTCCACAGAACTGCTGGAGGCCTCTTGGGGGTCCCTCTTCGCACACCCAGGACGCAGACGGGCAGGGGGAGTGGGTGGAGGCTGGGGAGGGGTGAGGGCCCGGAGGACGGGTCAGAGCCAAGCGGCCAAGCCTTCGCGCGCCCACTCCTGCCCTGTGTCCCAGCCGGACCTCTGCAGGGGCGTGCCTGCCCTTGGCCATCGGAGTTCGTGCGCACAGGCACTAGCCAGGTTCCTTCCCTGGGGAGGCTCAGGACTTGGGGGGAGGCCTGTTTCCCGCCCCCTCCAGGGCCCAGGCCGGCCTGAGCCAGTCCTCCCCCGCAGACGTCATCCACACGGTGGGGCCAATCGCCCAAGGCGAGCCCAGCGCCAGCCAGGCCGCCCAACTCCGCAGCTGCTACCTGAGCAGCCTGGACCTGCTGCTGGAGCACCGGCTCCGCTCGGTGGT